AACGAGTCCTCTGTTATGTGCTTGCTTTATGCTGTGATTGTGAACTAGATGCCAGGGTAAGTTTAATGTTGTGTTCCGTAAGACAAATTGTAGTATTTTGGTGATTCGTGGATTTTTTCTCCGGTAAAATATAAGACCGCGCCCATAGAGTATTAGAAAACTCAAAATACGTCAATAATTGACGTATTGGCATTCTATTTATGCGCCTTTCACTCAACCCACTATAGGTAATACTTGTACACTCTAATTTGTGAATTTAATCATAAAGGTTTTGACGTTCGACGAACTGTCTTCAGAAACTGAACTTCCTAACTTTGAGGATATATGCTATGGGGTTTAGCAAAAGTTACGGAAGTTTGGTTTCACGTATACAGTAGTTAAAGATAGGCAGTATAAAGCGTTAGGTATGAGGAGATTTCGCGCATATGTGAAAAGATTGAAATCTGATTTTGGCATCAGAAGCATACTGAACACTTGACAGTTTCAAAACCGCACCATTTCAAAATGGCTGACCTAACTCCGAATTTTTGTTTAGAAACGTTCTATCGCTTTGAAAATTGGTACACATGTTCTAAAGGATATGAGAAAGGTCGCTATTGTTTTTCAGTTACGTAGGCTATATCGGGTCAAAAAGTTACAGCCCAAAAACGATCTCGAGGATCGTTCGGTATTCAGTTGTAACGCATTTTTTAATAGTTAATATCATACCAAATGTAATCGCGATACATAATGCGTAGGACGTTATAGAAAATAAATATGTTTACAGACCCTTTATGAGTTTTTTGCGCGATCGGTCATTTCTGACTATTTACCATGGGTGTTTCCATGACAGTAGGTAGAATTTACCAGTTGCTATGATTACGACGACGTCAAAATTACTTACCGATCTAAAAACAGAACAGCAAAAATACTTACCGACGCCTTTTTAAAAATCAACAGTCTTACATTACATTTAATCTTTAATTATTGTTAGGTACATTAAACGTACAATTTGTGCTGTTGTTTCCTATAGCAAGACGCTCATAAAGTCATAAAGGAAGTTCAAAGCTAGTAAACTACATCAGACACATGCACATTTTTATGAAATTATTAACTTCAATTTTGAGAAATAAACTGGTTACCTAGTGATATACACCATACCACTTCGATCATTTCGATTTATTCTGCTCGTTAATTTCTTAGTGCATATTTATATTGGTTGCATAAATTTAATTTCGATCGCGCAAAAAATGTTTATAAGCACGTCGAACGTTAAGGGTTACCGTTCTCAGACAATAATTGGAGTCGTCGCTTCGCTCCTCCTCCAAACAATTGTCTTCGAACGGTAAAAATCCCTTACCGTTCTCCATACTTAATATACTATTTCAGCCGTCTTAAATATACAATTTTGGGAATTGCACTGCAATACCTTCTATACTAGATCATTTCTCAAAAACTTGAGTGCCATTAATCATACTCTAAGAAAGGGATTTAACATCGCAAATAAAAAGGCAATTTGTTCTCCAGACCTTATTCATTTGGCCTAATAATCCGTTTACAATTTTTGCAATATTGAAAAAGAAGTATCTACCTACTCGTAATTTAAATATTTGTTGACAATTTCCACACAAACTAGTTTGTCTATGGAATAAAATACTATTATTATTATTATTTATTATTATCTATATATACGTATTGTGAGAATCTCTATCAGCACGCTTCTGGTACAATCGATCAGAGATTGACTTAACAATAATCATAAATCAACAATAAAAAAACGACAACCGTAGGTACGGGTAAAGAACAGCACTTTGAAGTTAAATGTGCACATGCTGTTCTATTCGAGTTGTGCTACAATACCAATGCAATGACGGGAGTTCTTCGCTTTGGCAATTATAACTGGCGGATGCTTTTTTTGCTTTTAAACAAATAATGATACAAACTTACGCCACTGGTAAAAATTATATACGTTAACTTTATGTTTTTATTCAATGCTTTAATGCAGTAATACC